CCCCCCCCCCCCCAATAGCTCAGCTGTCTGCCTCAGTTTCCAGCCCCAGTCTACCTTAAGTAAACCCCAGCCTCAGTTCCTCAACTGGCTTCTCTGTAGTCCACTGGTTCTGGCAACTTTCACTCCCTACACTTTAACTCTCTCTCTCTCACCTGAACTTTCCCCCAAGTATCCCAGGTACCCCAAGCACACACATACACACTGTACCATCCAAGTTAGGAAATTATCTGTTTGTATCTGGACACACAGATGTGTGTGTATGTCATACACACACACACACATATATATGGCATTGTGTGCATGATATATGAATTAGTGACCTGTGTCTAACTTTTGGGGTGTATGTGCTTGATGTGTTTGAATTGGTGATAGGTATGCATGTGCCTAGGCTGGTTTGGATGTGTATGTGCCTGAGCTGGTAGTGTGTGTGTGTGTGTGTGTGTGTGTGTGTGTGTGTGTGTGTGTGTGTATGCACCTAATTGATTTGTGTGTTTGTATATGTGCAATTGTGTCACACCCTCCTGTCTAACAGCACAATATTGAGATCCTGAGAGTTGGCCTGGCCTCACAGGGCAACACAAGAAAAATAAGGGTTCCCCATGTTGTCCATTGCAGTCCATTATTACATCTCTATTAGTGTCAGTACCAATTATTATGCCATAAAACCTGAAGGTTTATATCCCTTCCAATACACTTATTACTGTAATTCCAGATATATGCATCATTACAAAATCTGTTCCTGGCCTCCATAATCCTTGTGACAGTGAGTTCCCTGGGCTAACTTATGTACTGTGTTAGAAAAGTATTTTGATTTAGCAGTTTTCTATTCAATTACATTCTGCATATCTTGGGATACATTCCAGATAGGAGAAGAAGGCAGAAGGAACTTTTACCCTTTTATTTGTAGGGAGGATTCTCAGGCAGCAGGCATCACGTGGTTCTGCTGCTTAACAAAAGGGGCCTCTCATGAGGTCCCTTCCAGCCCCTAATGTCTATGAAAAAGGGAACATTGTGATAATTTAAGGATTCTGGTTTTCTCTGTTTAAAAATCCAAAATTCTCCTAAAACACCCAAATTCTGCATTTTTCTGTGATTAAAATGAAACGCTTCTCTCTCTCTCTCTCTCTCTCTCTCTCTCTCTCTCTCTCTATATATATAGGTATCAGTTGAACACAATGTTTTATTGATATATTTACAATTTTAAAGCCATTTGGAAGTGGGCATGGAGCTGCAGCCTGGCCAGACCATCATGGGCAGGAGCCACCTCTGTGGCCCAGCAGGAAGGTGAAGCAGGACAGTGAGTCTTATTGCCACCATCACAACTGTGATGCCCACAGCAGCAGCACAAAAAGTAACGGACCATGGCGGGACTGTGCTGCCCGCACCTCTTCCTAC